CGAACTCTGGACACTTTTCTCAGAGTTCTGACATTTCTTTGTACTCTCATTTGTCTTAAGGTATAATTACGCCAGGTTTCTTCTTCACGAGTAAAGAAACATGTGAATCTTCAATTTCGAGTTTACATGTGACCAGTAAATTCTGCAGTATTTACTAAGGGGAAATACCACAGTTTCTTACAAATTCATCTTCTGGAACTCGGGACAGTTTTCGGGTTTGTGACCTTAGTTAATCAGATCCTTTCCCAGGGACAAACGAAATTTGCCTTAGTGCCATTCTTTCCTAGTGCTTACTATCCGAACAACAAAAAACATCTTTGCCGAGAATTGAATGAAGGAAACATTTTTCTCTTACCCAAAGATGGACTCAACAGCACCCTGGAAAGTATACTAAAACCGGAAGTTATTTATAAATAAGTGCAAATGAAATTGTAACATTTTCTTCATGCCTCTTTTCATTACTTTTAAATTTATTTCCTGCTTAGAAAATATTTAATATTAATTTATGCTTTTTACAGTTAGCATGGAATGTAACCAAATTATATCTTTGAGTAATTCTCTTTGTATTATTTTTAATTAAAAAGAATGTGTAAATATAGAATGACAATGGTCAGCTTTTATATGGACACCTGCGTGTACAACAATGTAATAATAAGTATTGGAATTTCTAAACCACACGTGCAACAATATTGACTGAGCATGCCATAAGGATCATTTCTTATGCATGCAGCATAATAGACTGAATAAACCGTATTGCACTCCATTCCTTTACTAATTGTTATGTCATAGTTTCCTTCGTCATTGTCGCATTAGTATACACTGGCGTCAACAATCCGTTTTTGTCACTATGGAAACAGCTGAGCTGTGAATCGCTTGTAGGAGAAGTGTGTTGTAGACGATATACTTTTGTGCTTTTAAAAGTATTTCACATTAACCAAAGTACTTATCTTCTGTGAATTACTAAGAAATTCTTGACTTGTTCTTCACTCCCTCCATTTTATTTTGCAGGTGGGCATCTTGAAGAAAGAGTGAGGTAAGAGCATCCTATTTATTATTATTATTATTGCTTATAACATTTACAGGTTTTCATTTACATTTGTGAACTCTTGTAAGAGAATTAGGCTTGTCTTCTTTTTAACACAAATTCAATTTTTTATTCCATTGACTTCTGTTTGTTTACGGCATCATTTATAATAAATGAATTCCGTTAAACAGTGTGGGATTCGAATTTCTAAAGCAACAAGACATTTTAGTAGCCGAAATTCTTGATGAAACTGTTCAAACCCTTGAAAGCCTGGTGGCAAGTATATATACCACTTGCCTGATTTAACAGTCAGTAGCTTTTCATTATGCATTTGTCGGATTCGTTTGATTCTTAGGGTAAAGAGTAATAATATCCTTTAAATGCATTAAACGGTTGATCTTTGTAATGGTGAAGTGTAGTGTTTTCTGTGCGGTACGGACTGAATTTTTCCAATGATATTTAGACAAGCTTCGGCATCAAATGGTTAATTTAATGGGGCCTCTGTTACGAAAGATAATTCTATCACTTTAGATTTCTTGACCCATGAACTTTGTTAGAGCTTTTGAGCGAGCTGCAAAGAATTCGTTTTATTTTTATTAATAATCTGTGTGCTATATAATTGTCTGTATAAACTGAAATGCACTCCATTCTGTAACCGTCCACTGTTTAACTTCCAAGGTGCCGCTAGTTGACACCGCACAGCAGCAGCCGTCCGGGGGTGGACGTGATGTTGGTGTTTGTAAAATGGTGAATGTTTTCAATTTGGGAGCATGTGATAGAGGTTGGGTATCCAAGAATACCTCGCAGATCTGAATTGAGTTTTCCGTTGCGAAACATTTCAGGAAATAAGATCGGGAAGTATTTTTGCTGGTTCGGTTCGCTTCGATGTAGTGTGATCTGGCCTTACTTCCACTCCTTAGAAGCGGATGTCCACTTCCGATCTAAACATGTGCTAAAATCCCAAGTATTATTAGTTGTTAATGCAATGAACACCTTGAGTTGCGTGATGCAGAAACACGTGTTAAATTGAACAAATCCTTTAGGATTGAATGTGAAATAAAAAATGTTAATAAATTGATATAAAAGGCTCATAACCTAATGAAGAGTAACGATTAAATTTACAAAATTAATTAAAAAACTAAATAAAGTCGGACGCCCGGTTACAGTTCCTTTATGGAGGAAACAATAATTGTTACGTCATAGTTTTCGTCGGCATTATTGTATTAGTAAATATTGACGTCAACAATCGGAAAGAACAGCTATGAATAGTTTTTAAAAGTATTGCGTGATAGACGAGATACTTTTGTGCTGTTAAAAACCTTTCAGAATAACCGAAGTACTTATCTTATATAAGAATTATTAAGAAATTTGTGATACTGTCCTCCAGTTCTCCACTTTATTTTATTTTTTATTAAATTGTTTATTGCCAGTGGACATTTAGGTCTCTTACTTTTGAGAAGAGGGTGGGGGTCCTTTTTATTATTAACTTATCTAGACTTTATTACCCCAATAGTTGGCTCCCATGGTCAAGCTGATGCCATTTATTTTGATCTTGTCACTCATACTATACTACTGAAAAAGCTCGGTGATTACACACTTTCTGATCGTTATGTAAACTGGTTTCGTAGTCACTTAACCAACAGACAATCTCAGGTTCGTGTTTCTGTAACTTTTCCGTCTCCTTTTATAGTGCTCTCTTTCATTCCACAAGGATCTGTTTTTGGTCCTCTGCTGTTCAGCTTATTTATTGACGATATACGCAGCAATTAATATATTTCGTGCCACAGAATCTCCTAACGACTGCACTACTAACTTCATGAAACTTAATACAGTGCATTCCGGTTAATTGGGATACATCAGGACTAGAACATTTTGGCCCAATTAAGTGCCTGCCCCAATGATGGTAAGTTCCACTTAAAGAGTTAAAAAGGTTTGTTCTTTAAGATTTGCCCCAAATAAACGGCTGTCCCGATTAACTGATGACCCAATTAATGGGAATCTACAGTAATTTCTTTCTGCAGAAAGACTACTACTTTGATCTTCGATTATAAACTTTTCAGTCCCCTGTGCCACGCACTGACGCTATTAAAGACCTGGGAATATGTATCGACTCTAAGCTCCGCTTTCACAACTATGTTGACCACATATTTTCACAGTGTATTAAGTTGCTGGGTCTAGTTCACACACTAACCTTACGCTCTCTACTCTCGACTGTCTGTCTTATATGTAACCTTAGATCCAAGCTCGAGTATGCATTTGCCATTTGGAATTCTATTATGACTACTGATGCCAACAAACTGGAACGTATCCAGCAGAAGTTTTCAGCCCTTTGCTACTATCGTCTCCTCCCCCGTGAGCTGTGCTAACAATTAGACATAATTTTCATGGGACCATAAATAAAAACCAAATTGTCTTGTGTGTGTGTGTGTTGCTGGATGCAGAAATTGAACAGCTCAATTAATGAACTAATATGACTGCATTGAAATGCAACAAACATTTCAAACCCAAGTATTTTATTCTACTAACCATAACTTGCAAAAAGTTGCTACAGTTTGGCAGTGAAATAGAAATGTAATGGTTAAGATCATTCTGGATATTACTAATGACAATTTCTATTTCTGCAAGAACAAATTTTACATGCATTTCATGGAAGACATCCTGGTGCTTGCTGCCTCTATCATCAGGCATCACCCTGATGATGGAGGTAGCAAGTACCTCTGAAACATTAGTAAGCTTCTGCCAGACCACACAGCATAACAACCCACAAGACTGTCATCTTCATACTCACCAGCATGAGAACATGAAATCTCAACCCTTCAGTTAACCAGTATATCTTCCTTCATCAAAGGAAGGTATATATCATTACCTTTACAGATTTTCATATTGAGGAGTTACCATACTGTGTAGTTTTGAAAGAAGTTTCTATATTGTTCTGTACCTTGACAGAATTAACTGACAGATTATCAAATTCCATTGGCATGTTATAGAGAGGG